CTTGGCCCGTCCGGGGTATAACGCCATTGCTCTCGCCGTCCGCCCAGTTGCAGAACAATACTAAGTTGACAAAGAGTTCAACTCAGTCCGCGGGGAACAATACTTCCATGCAGCTTCGACAATATCTCGCTTCAGATAGTAGATATGCTCTCACAACATATAAGAAGGCCTCTATCTTCCCTTCATTACCTCGATTTAATCTTCATCACATCAAGTCTCAGATCAACATCCAACAAACAAACATACCAAACCTCCTTATTCATTCTTAACCAAATCTCTCATCATGCCTGTCCTTCAGCACAACAAATCCACTCGCGGTTGCCAGGGAAAGAACGGCAGTGGCTCCCTCGCTCGGGAGCTCCAGGCCCAGGCATTCGTCGTTGACCATGTCGAGGCGGACGAGAATGCCACCTTCGCAAAGCCAGCGGCCGCCGGCTCAAGCGCCGGCAAGAGCTTCTCCGGCTATCAGGCGTGCACCATCATGTAAATCTTGAATATACAACAAGATTTTGGGTTTCGCTTCTTTCGAGCCCGACGAGTACCTGGCAATCACATCGCTCGTCTACGCCGCCCCATTTCTCAAGATATCCCTTACTCGCCAATTTCAGCTTGCTATTTCAAAATCGATTGGCTTTGGTCTTAAACACATATGTTTGCCACCAAAAGCTATTTCTTAACACCATGGTTCAGCAACATTTCCGCGGCGACTTACAGCAGGTCTGCAATGTTGTGCAATTAAATAACAATGTGGGGACTTATTGGGCAGTGTATAACTTTCTCTTCTTTATTATAGCTTGAAATTGTGGCTTCAATGTTAATCCAAAAAAAAAAAAATTTCTATGATTGGTGAGACGAATGATTTGGTAGCTTCATGCCTAGCGTGAATAAAATTTTATATTACTTGATACAACGCCTTGTTTGTTGCGTACTTTATCATGTGAACAACCGTCCCCTTATTCTGCAGCATAATAATATGAATTCGACTAAACACTGTGGTGGGGCAAATATTGGCGGTGAGAAGCACAGCAACGGCAGAATGTTGAGATTTTCCTATCTGGACTTTTTTTCTGGCTTGCTGCCGCTGCCTCTCGATAGACTCGGAATTTTCCTGAAGACTAACGAAGTGAGATTCAACTACCTCTTCAGGAACCTCAAGTTGCGAAAATGGAATCACTGAAAAGCAACCCGCGAAAACAAGACAAACTTTCTCACAATGCTGCTTCAAAGGTCACGTCGCACGTCGATGAGTCTTCCGACGAAAACAACGACGGCGCTCTGAAGGTTTTGCTCCCCATCTTCCAACTTTGCGCACTCGATTGAGGGCTAACTCGGATCTATATAGTTTGACGTTGATGGCGTCGACGACAGTGATACGTCTGAGTCCTCGATTGAGCTAGAGAAACGCCTGCCGAAAATCACGAGACCTACCGAAACGAGCAAGATTTTGGCAATTGATGACGACGATGGTGACGATGACGACGAAGAGGACGAAGAGGACGAAGATATCCCTGTTTCAGACCTTGAAGATCTGGACGAGGAAGAACGTGAAGACATGATCCCACACACCCGCTTAACCATAAATAACACGTCTGCCCTCCTCGCCTCTCTTGATCGCATATCCATTCCTACAGGAGCCTCTGTACCATTCACAACGCACCAAATCGTTGTATCTTCTGATAAGACAGCAGCCTCTATCCCTGATGTGTCGGATGATCTTCAGCGAGAGCTTGCTTTCTATACCCAGTGCCTCGAAGCCGCTCGACAGGGTCGAAACAAGCTTCTAGCCGACGGTGTGCCGTTTTCCCGACCAAAGGACTACTTTGCTGAAATGGTCAAGGAAGATGCGCACATGGAGAAGGTCAAGGCAAAGCTAGTGGAGGAAGCGTCCGCGAAAAAGGCCTCCGCCGAGGCGCGAAAACAGCGTGACCTGAAGAAGTTCGGCAAACAAGTACAAGTCGCAAAATTGCAAGAGCGACAGAAGGCCAAACGTGAAACGCTGGAGAAGATCAAGACTTTGAAGAGAAGTACGACGCCGTATCATCGTGCAACTAGAATCATTCGCTAACACGGACATTTTAGAGCGTCAAGAGTCCAGCGGAGACGTCGGCACCAAGGAGGGTGATTTGTTTGATGTGGCTGTTGACGACGAGATCTCCAAGCACTCTCAGCGATCTAGTGCTACGCGTTCTAGTGCTACGCGTTCTAGTGCTACGCGTTCTAGTGCTACGCGTTCCTCATCAGGATCGAATGGGAAGCGCCTGAAGAAAAATGAGAAATTTGGCTTCGGGGGTAAAAAGAAGCACATCAAATCCGGGGACGCGACGAGCTCGGGCGATTTGAGCGGTTTCAATGCCAAGAAGATGAAGGCTGGCAGCAAGTATAAGAAAGGCACCAGTCGCCCCGGTAAGAGCCGGAGAAAGGCCATGTCGAGCAAGTAAACAGCAGCGACGATAGCTGAGATGATTTGGGCATGGTTTTTAGGCGTCTAGTTATTCATTATGTACACCTACTTATCAAGCTATCTACCCGATTTTTTCACGGTCGGGGTATCACCGCATTTTCACGCATAAAAGGGTAGTTGTAGAATTGGAGTGGAACATGATTCATCCAAATTCATCTATGAAAACAAAAGGATATATAAAGATTTCGAATGAACTGAGGGCAGAAGCAGAAGAAGGGTGAGCGCCAAAAAGTTGCATAAACCTAGTAGTACCTTGGCGGTCAAGAGGTATCAGGCTTGCTACCTACCTAGGTAGGTACCTCTGTACCAAATCAGTTGTGCCAGCCAACAAGCCCGAACTTTTGTCGCACACCAGTCCTCCCCGATGCGAAACATCGCTAAAATGTTATTCAACCCGAATAAAACGCAAACTGATGCAATGGCCAAACTTTGAGTAGAATTGTCCGAAATATGTATGCATTGGTGTTTGTCGAACCTCGAATCTTCTGAGTAGCCAAAAAACTCGGCCGAAGCGAGCAAGAATAATGATGCTACAGTCGTGTCGTGTTTCATCAGCACAAAAGTAGCAGTCATTTCGTAGACAATCGTTGGAGCACGAGACATGAAAAATTGTAAGCCCAAGTCATAACCGTCCATATGCGCCTGAAAAATCCCATGGTATCGAACGGAGAGAGAATGCAGAGTGTTTCGAACCGCGTTGTTATGCAAAGCATCCATCTCATACCGATTGCGACTGCGGGTGGCATCAGTGTGAGAGAGCCAAAGATCATAATATATATCGCCCCTGACATCGCTGTGTCTAATCATTGGGAAGCTGCGACACACCAGTGGCGATGGAAAGCCCAGGCGCTCTTTTGACATTCCTTGCTGCAGTATTTCGTCCGACGGCAACGACGACATTTCGCGAACTGTCGTGGAAATTCTTCCCAGGTTCCACATTGATAGTATGCGCACTGTCGAATACCACCGCGAGTATCATCCTTGCGACATAAATTACGCATGACCACGCCAGCCCAGTATTGCATGTCAGTGCTATGATATCTGACAGTGAACTTTTCAACCAGTGGGAAAAGATTGAAGTCATTTGGTAGCAAATATTCTTCGTCGACGGCCACACAATCGTCAATCTCCTCGCTATCACCTTCGCCATCGAGAGCTGCGAGGTCCTTGCCAATGGCGAGCCTGGGAACCAGATGGCTGTTTTGGAAATATGAGCGGAGCCCGCAGTATTTTGAGACGTAGGCAAGAAGTTGAAGTGACATGAGGACATCTTCTTCCCTCGGCATAACTGCCAGCATCTGTGGGTTTGGCACGAAATGGCGATCGAGCAGGTATCTTGGCACCGATGACGTTGACGCGTTTGGCTGGGGTGGCGAGACCATGGACGGGCGGTTTGGAGACAGCCCAATGGGTGGGACAGTAGCAGGAGCTACATCACTGCCAATACTTCCATCAATGGGAGAGCGGTGAGTGATGTTGAAAGCACCGGTATCTTGCGCCTCGGAGACAGCTGCACCAGCTAATTCGAGAGATTCGGTAGCCAACATTCCTTCGCCATCATCCATGGTGATGTCCTGGATTCCGACAGCCGACCGCATGTCTCCGGTTCCAGTCATCTCAGCATCTGGCGATTCGTCGGATGGCATGCTATCATTGTTAATATCATCGGCTTCGGCAGTAGAGTTCTGATGACGAATCGATGGCCTGCGGCGCTGTGGAGTTGTATCGTCAATAGTGGCAGTGGGTATCACGGTCGGAGAGCGTAGTTGAGGAGGGGGGAGCGGCGTTGTCGGGGAAGTTGGCTGGGACACAAGTTCGGACTGCCCTAGGAGTGCCATGGATGCTAATCGATCAGCGTCTCTGACAGGACGTAGAAGACCATCAATAGCCTCCATTAGCGGGACAGCAGGTGCTAGGGATTGGACAGCTTGTCGACTTGCGGCGGTCTGGCCCTCGGTCGCTCGAAAATTGTGACGAGGGCGGGTTGGCGTAACTGCGAGACGATCCGATGTCCCTGACCTTGCAGGTGACGATGCTGAGGAAGATACTGCTCCTTGGCGATGAGCGGCAGTAGATGGTCCCGCATAGCTGGCTGTAACATCTATCGATGGTGGTAGCCCCTGTCTCCGTATTGTTCTTTGTTCGGTCTCGTTGCGTGAAGATCTATTAGCGAAGAGACCCGAGGACCTGGACGATACGCGGTGATCGTGGCTGCGGTGTCGGTGATGATGTTCGTGTATCTGTTTCTGTTTTGCCTCGTCTGCCTTCTCGCGGCATCGATCAATTACTTTTATGTAATTGTCAAGTATAGTTGCAATGACAGGCACCATGTCAGCCTCGACAACACGCGTGCGCACATTTTCCGTTCCGCGCACACCAATATTGACAACGCACTGAAATGCTAGGTTCCATTTCCACATTCCCATCATATCCTTGCTTCTGCCCTGTTTTAGGATGCAGACGAGCCGTTCGATGCCTCCGTCGACAGTCAAAATATCTCGAATACGCGCGGAAGATGTCGTGAGGTATGCGAGGTGGTTGAGGGAGTTGATCAGGGGGAGGGTCGATGTACAATCAAGCGCCCGGCGGTCATACAGGGCAGTTGTGATGCCCACAGATGCCTTGTTGACATTCGGGATACTGAAGTTGACTTCTCTCATTTTGGCAGTCTCCTAGGTGAACAGGGCGCTGTTTCCGCAATATTGCCCGAGATGCGTTTCACGGGGGAGCCGCCGCCACGGCGTGAGGACTTTTGATACGACCGGTGCCAATCTCCAGTAGTAACTAAGAATTTCGCGACCTCGAGTAAGCCGCTGGGCCGTGGTTGGTTAATTCTGTGATGGTGGTATTTTTGCAGTCGGATTCGGTCGGGGCACTAGAAGTTGGGCCGCGAGAATAGGTCCTTCGATATTGCGGTACCGCGGCGTAGGGACCGTGCAGGTATTTCCCGGTAATAATCGTTTTTTGGTGATGACTGCGATAGTCTTGAGGGGAAACGACTTGCGCGACGTGAAATGACAGCGATGGCCGAGCAGGTCGTGTTTCAGGCAAGGCTTTAGGGCCGCCACGTCGAGGGGTGAGGCAACTGCTTCGAGTGGTGGCAATAGGGCGGCGGCAATCTATAGTTTTGGCGAGCTGACAGAGAAATACTGTTTCCCAACGACGCTCACCGATGGGGCTGGAGAGATGCGTTTTGACGAGGCGAGATGAGGAGAGTTGAGGAGGAGGTTGGCTGACGAAGACTTCACTCCTCTAGTTAGCGACGTCAGGGAGATCTAGTGTGTGTGAACGGACCGCTCCGGCACAGTCAGTAGTGGTGGTATTAGGGAGAGCCCACTACCGACCAGGTACCTGGTACATAGTAGGTATCTCTAATAAGGTAGACTAGTTAGTCTAATTAATATAATATAATAATATTATTATTATTAAATTAATAAATTATAAGAATTATTTATATATATACCTACCTACCTATATATAAGTTAGGCTTAGGCTTTCTTTAAGCTAGATTAGGTTTAAGGCTATTATAGGTATATTCTTAGGATACTCCCTTTTATACTATAAGAGATAAGTAGACTAGCTTTTCCCTCCTTTCTTACTCTATAAGAGAGTTAATATTATTATAATACCTACCTATGGATACTCTAAGGCTAGTTCTTAATACCTTGCTGCTATGTTGCTTACTAGGTATCTATGTATAATTGTTCTACTAACTCCTTTGGTAGTGGATAGTCTAGTATAAGGCTATGTTCTAGGTGGTTAATAGCTTGCTGCTTCCTTCTTCCCGTGAATGCCATGTATATCGTGTTAAACTGCTTTAGTTGTTTCTGTGGCGTAGGCGAATTCAATAGGAGTAGGCAACTCCGAGGCCCGTGTTTCTGTCATCTGGCGGGGATATCCTGTAACTACAGGACACAACCGTAAAATCCGGTGCGTGGTGACGCCAGAACTGATTACTACCTAGTACAACTCACGGCCTGTCATCGGTCGGTATAGTGGCACGGGGTGCCTCCTATATCCAAGCGCGGCTAAATACAGGGTAGTGCCATTGTGGCATTTACACCGGGCGCAGAGCCAGCGGAGCGACTAGATCAAGATCAACCACCCCCGTATGTGTAGATCCCCACAAAGGTCATACATACATCGCCCAACGTGGGCGTCAGATGAATACGCACAAGAGACTCCTTCTAGGAGACTCATGTGTCAACCTAGTAAAAGGCAACACGCGCTTCACAGCCGGCGCCGAGATGCCATGCGCCATTGACACAGAAACAGGAACGAGCGAACACCAATGCATCAGTCATTTTGCATTTGCGTGCAAAGCCGCGCCAATTGTCCGACAACTCGCGAGCGTAATAATAACAGCTACATAAAATACTAAGTATGCACGCGAGGGTATATAAATGACCGCAACAGGTATCAGAGTCGCTAATCCCCGCTAATCTTGGCATGCCGAAAATACTTCATACCAACCCACGCCACCACAACCCAGACCCAGGCCATTACACATGTGAGTATCATAAGGGCCGGATAGTAGCCGACTATGGGAAGTGTTGGATCATCCTCCAGCTCAGGCGGCGCATAAGGCGTTTTGCCAACGTCCCATGCCCAGCTCCAAATGTCAAGACATGAGCCCATGCCAACAACAAAGACCAACCATGTCACAGTGAGGACAACCCACCCCCACCACTCCGTTTCTGCGTAGTCCCAATCAGCATCCGAGTTAGGTATCGTATTGGTGGAGAGGCCGCTGTATGACAGTGGTGATTTTGCCGGCTGGAAGGAACTTGGTCGAGGGGAGGTCCCTCGTGTGGCAAAGTATGATTCCGAGCCCGAGGAAGATGCCGATAAGTTCGGTCTGGTGGTGACCAAATTATGTGAAATATGCAGTATATCATCCTCATCCGTTGTCGACGTATCCTGTGTTATCTGAGCCTCTGTATTGTGGTCTGGGCTGGCTAGTCCAACCTGAGTCCCCAATGATACTGCACTCGGCTTTACCAGAGCGTGCATTCGCGCAACCTCAAGACCCAGAGCATCATGACTGCCCAAAGAAGCCGAACCATCAAGGGTGCCAGGGACTAGGGGGTATGCCGTGGCTTGCGCTGTATCAATCGCTAGAGATCTGCCGTCGCGCTTGTCACGCTGCGCTCCTCTGCCGAGTAAGGCAACCTTTCTAAGGGAGCCGCGCCGTCGCCGTGTCTTGGGTTGCGCTGCTGCAAGATGAGAATGAGATGTGACATGGCTCTGGGAGGAGCAATCGCCGGCCGCTGCATCACCGTGCTGCGTCTCCAAGTCTGGCTTCACGACGGGAAGTCTAGAGAGCAGCCCTGAGACTGCGGATGGCCCTTCTCGACGGGGCAACGGCATAGAGCCAGCCTCTGTATGTGGCAATAATGCATCCATAATCTGCGCCGTAACCCAGTCCACTGCAACATCAATACAAGGAGCGGCCAGATCGGGTGGCCTTTCGAGGTGTCGGCGTGGGCTATTTCGACATCGTAAATGGATAGGCGCAACTTGTTACGAGATCTGGGTTTCAACGTCAGAGAAACTCGAACAAATCTCAGCGCCAGAAAACTTACGGAATAGTGCGATCTGGATGTAGACGCGCCAAGTTGCTGATATGGCCAGGTGTTGTCGAGGCTATTACCTAGGTACCTACCTAGTGCTGAGGTAGGTAGGGAGGTAGTTCTAGCCCCACTTTACCTTACGTAAATAGGTAGGTACCTACCTATGTATATAAGTAAGGCCTATTTTTTAAATAAGGTATTTAATAAGTATTTTACTTTATATATAAGTTTTTATTATAATATTATTATTATTATTATTAATTTATATTAATTAAAGCCTTTATAGTATAGTAGTTCTATACTAGGGAGTTCTATATAGGTTAGTATATATATTACTAGTTTAAATCTAGCTAAAGGTACCTTAAATAATTTTCTTCTAAAAGTTAAGTAGTATAGCCTACCCTTATAACTAACTTATAAGGAAAATATAGGTAAGATAACTATAAAGTTAGCTAAAGTAAAAGCTAGAAATAATATATACTAACTATTATATTACTTAGCCTTTAATATATAGAATAAAGCTAAAAACTATATAAATATTATAATATATACTTATAAATAAATATTATAATAAAGAACTATTTTACTACTTAAATATATATATAGATAATAATAATAATTTTTATATACTAATTAGGCTAAATAACCTATTTAGTATCTTTATTAATTATAAAGTAAAGAAAAATTAAAATACTTAAAGAAAAACCTTATTTATATTTTATAGAATTCTTTATAATCTTATTTTAAAGTATATAAAAGTTTAATAAAACCTTTCTTAATACTATATATTAGGTTTTTATTTATATCTTAGTTTATATTTAGCTTATATTACTTTAGTTAGTTAAGTTTATTAATTATCTTTTTTCTTTTTAGATTTTTATTTATATTAAAATAGCTATATTTAATTCTATATATCTTTAAACTAGTTAAGCCTATTATCCTTTTAACCTCTTAATTCCTTCTTTTATTTTTTATTTTTATTTATATTAAAAAAGGCTATATTTAGCCTTATATACCTTTAGGCTAGTTAAGCTTAATTCTTATTATAGCCTTTTAAAGTCTTTAATATTCTTATTTCTTTTTTTTTTAAAAGTTCTTAGCTTTTATTCTTTCTTAATATTTTTTTTTACTCTTAATACCTTATACTTTACCTCTATGGCACAGTGGTTCTATGGTATGGAGTTCTGTGTGGGTTAGCACACGGATCGCTAGTTTGAATCTAGCTAGAGGCACCCTAAACGATTTTTCTAAAAGTCGAGTAGCGCGGCCTAGCCCTATAACTAACTTATAAGGGAATATAGGTAGGGTAACTATAGAGTAGGTCTAAGGCAAAAAGTTAAAGGCATATACTAATCACTATACTACTTAGCTCCTTAATATATAGAATAAGGCTAAAAACTATATAAATACTATAGTATATAACCTTATAGAAGGCACTAATTAATAATAGGCAGCTTTAAAGCTAGAAGAATAATCTCCTATTACCTAGTATATCTAGTACTTACCTATACTATATAACTAGATAGAAGTTATATAATATAATAACTTTACCTTTTACCCTATATATACCCTATTAGTCTTAATAGGTTATAAGCCTAATAGTACTTATATTATAAAAGCTACTAATAAAATAAAGAAAAGTATTAATTTCTTACTAAATTTACCTATTATCTATATAAGCTAATATTTACTATAAAACTTAAGAAATTTATAATTTCTTATATATAGAAAAAGGAAAGACCTTAAACTCTAACTAATCTAAAGTATATTTAATAAGTCTATTTACTATAAAAATTCTATATAAAGAAAAAGAAATTCTATTACTATATCCTACCTAGTAATTTATATATAAACTCTATATATTTATTTTATATATATTATAATATAAATTTACTTAATATAGTTATAGCCTTTAAATAGATATACCTATTAAATTACTTATTATAATCTATAGTTCTAAATATACTTACTAAATTACTTACTATAATTTATAGTTTTAATTATTATAAAAGGTATATAGTAACTACTTACTTAGTAAGAAGAATTCTTTATTACTTATTTAAATACTTCTTACCTTTAAATAAATATAAAGTACTTAGTTTAAAAAGAAAGACTATATACTTAGCCTATTATCCTTTTTATTATCTTAAAATTCTACTTTCTTAGTAAGTAGTATTATTAATAACTTAACTCTTATATATAAACTAAGATCTTCTTATAGCCTTATTACCTACTTTATTATTTAGTACTATATTCTTAATACTAAAAAAGGTATTAAATATTTTAAAGTTTAAATTTAAAAGTAACTAGGTTAAATAGAAGCTAAAAATAATTAATATACTAAAACTTAATAATCTTAATAGATTACTACTAGAAGGCTAAAGAAATAGCTTTATCTTAACTAAGGCTTATAATAGTAAGACTATAAAGAATCTTATCTAGAAATAAATATAGAACTAGGTTTATATTATTACTTTTATTAATATAAGCCTTAAAGAATATACTTATAGCTTTATTAAGAATAAGGTTATAGTATTAGATATAATTATAGCCTTTAAAAAGTACTTTAAACTAAAAGGTATTATTATCTTTTAAACTATAGCTAACTATTTTTTAATACTAACCCTTACTTAATATAGATTTATTAAGAAACTTATTATAGTACTTATTAATACTTAGGCTAAGTAGTAATTTCTTAATAAAGACTTTAAAGTCCTTAAGGCTTTAATAGTATATCTTTTTATTAATAGTCTTAATAAAGAGTTTAACTTCTATATTATTAAGATAGCCTTTTATCTTATTTTAAAGTAGACTAGTAATACTATTATAACTCTTATAATTATACTTATATAGGTAATTATAATTATAGCTAACCTTATTAAGCTTAAATAATAGAATAATAAAAAGTCTAAATAATAAATTACTTTAGTTATTATAATAGCTACTAAAGGGTATTCCCTTTATAGTATAATAAAACCTAATACTACTAGGTACTTTTATTCCTTCTATAAGCTTCTAGGTTACTTTAATAAGTAATACTAAAAGCTATACCCTAAACTCTATTTAGTATTATAACTAATAGGGTATATATAGGGTAAGAGGTAAAGTTATTATATTATATAACTTCTATCTAGTTATATAGTATAGGTAAGTACTAAATATACTAGGTAATAGGAGATTATTCTTCTAGCTTTAAAGCTACTTATTATTACTCCTACTTAATCTATATTAACTAAGAAAAATAACTAGAAATAACTATAAGGAATAAAATAATAACTATAAGGAATAAAATAATAACTATAAGGAAAAGTAGTAACTACTATAGCTATTATAATATACTATAATAGTAGCCTAATTCTCTTACTTACTAATAAGTATAATAGTACCTATTAGTATATCTAAGTTACCTTTTTCTTCTAGGTATAGAGTAGCTTATAGTTATACTAGGTATAAAGTAGCTTATAGTTATATTAGGTATAGGGTAGCTTACTACTATATAGGGGGCCTTACTACTATATAGGGGGCTTTATAATTATTATATTTTTTACTTTTTACTTATAAGGTAATTTAACTTAAAAACCTATATAAATAAATTTTATAGAAAATAAAAGTTATACTATAAACTATATTTAATAAAGACACCTTATCCTAAAGGCTATAAAATATATAAAGGACTACTAGCTAAAGTATACTAAGTACTATACTAGTACTAAGTATATTATAATAATACTATACTAGTACTAAGTATACTATACTAATACTATACTAATACTATACTAATACTAAGTATACTATATTAGTATTATACTAATACTAAGTATACTAATTAATTATAATAGTCCTAAAAGTAATAGAATAGTAATAAACTTATAAAGGCTTAGGCTTTTATAAGATTATAGCTATAGAAGAGCCTTAGTAGCTATAAGACCTATAGAGCTTTATAACTTATAGTTATAAAAGGCTTACTATAATACCTTTAAAGGGTAATACCTTAAAGGTATAGTATTAGTTAGCCTATAATAGTCCTAAAAGTAATAAAATAGTAGTAGGCTATAGAGAAGTC